AGGTCCCACCCCACTGGAGGAACCGGCCCCGAAGGTACTGTACGTTCTTCGTGGGCGAGTTCAGAAAAGGCCCTACGAACCCTTACGGCCACACGCCTCCCGAAGTGGGTCCGTACACTGACCGATCCCACGTGAGCCCCTCACTTTGTTCCCAGCCTTGAGGGAGCCCCCCGACTGGAGGATGGCCCTTGCAATTCCCACGAATCCGAGGCCAGGCCAAGACGTCCCTCTCCCCGCCCCTCACTGTTCTGTGCACTTTTTTCTACCTACATAAACACACATTCCACGTCACGTCGGTGCTGTGTCTCTGCGCGGGAGTGGCTCGCTTCGCGACGTCCCGCCCCTTGTACTGCTATGGCCGCCGCGGGCTCTAGGCCGCCGCCTTGTGGCGGGAGCCGGGCCTGCAGCCTCAGCCCTTCAGATGCGCCTGAGGCCGGAAAGGCCGGCCACGTGCGCAGGATTGTATAGATGGCGGCCAGCCGGGACGGGAATTTAAGCGGAGCCCCATCAAACCTTCCTGTCGCCAACCCCCGACCCATCAGTTCCTTATATTCTCGAAATAAGCACTTAATCTGTACCCACTCCCTTCACCCTTGCCACCTGTTTGGTCTCCAGATTTTCCCCCTCTAATAATTTTTTTTAATTTTTTACTTTTTGGCCACACTGCACAGCATGTGGGGTCTTCTCTCCCCCACCAGGGATCGAACTTGCACCCCCTGCATTTGAAGTGCCGTTTTAATCACCTGACCACCAAGGCAGTCCCACCCCCTTTCTTAAAAGACCCTCAGAGATGGGGCTCCATTTGAAAGTGCCAATTTATTCCCACCCTTTGGATCTGAGCATTAAATTTCAGCTTCTCTCATACTAGTATTGACTTATAACATCTCCTTTAGGCAGAAGATGGCACTTAGGGTGGTCAGGGCACTGACTGAGGGAAACTGGGAGCTGTACGAACTAGAAAGAGGCTTTAATTCAGCTTGGAAGTCAAGGAGGGCTTCCTGGAGGAAGTGACACAGGAGCCAAGCCCCTGTGAGAAGGGTGAGACCAGGGGTTCTTAGGTGCAGAGAGGTTCAGGCTGCATCTGAATCCCCAAACCCCAGGGGTCTTTGTAAGCCCAGTTCCCTAGGAAGGGGGCCTAGATTCCTGTTCTAACTACAGGGACCTCTGAGGCTGGAAACAATGGATCTCCAAAGGCCCTTCCAGCTCAAAGAGGGGCTAACAGCCAAGGAGAACAGCTGTGGTGTGGGCAAGAGCCAAAGGTGAGGTTCTTTGCCTTGGCTTCGGGCAAACCACCTTCCCCAGATTCTTTCCTCTCTGAAGCTCCCCTCCTGGGTCTTCCTAAGCCTCTGGCTCTTCCTCTTTCACAAATCCTCCCTGGAGAGTGCTGTCCATCCCTTGGCTTGTAACTGCCTCCCAGTCTTGAGCCATTCATTTCCCAAGAGTTCATTGACTACATATTGTGCTAGGTCCATGCTGGGTGCTGAGAAACACGTTCCTTGGACTCCTGGTCTCATAGGAGAGACAGATGGAAAAAAAAAAGAAAAACAAGAAACAAAACCGCAATGACAAGTGTGATAAAGTAACAAACTCCCCTGATGGCCTAGGTAAAGCTGGTTCTTCTCCCTAGTTTCCACCCATAGCACCTCCCTAGTCCCTCACTTATCACTTTTGCAAACAGGTATTTGTTGCTTGTTCATTTATGTTTTGGTTTTTTTTTTTTACTGGCCTCTGTAGTTGCGGCAAGTGGGCTTAGGTGCTCCTAGGCATGTGGGCTCTTAGTTCCCCGACCAGGGATCGAATCCTTGTCCCCTGACTTGGAAGGTGGATTCTCAAGCACTGAGCCACCAGAGAAGTCCCATGCTTGTTTATTTCTGAAATGAAGGCAAGCTCTTGGGAGTTTGTCTGTCAAACGACACATTTGTTTTGCTGTTATCTGTCCAGTGTCCAAGTTGCTGTCTAGCAGGTGGTAAGTGCTCCAAAAATGTTTGCTAATGAAGGAAGGAATGAAAAAGGAAGGGGAGGAGGAAAGGCGAGAAGGAAAAAAAATAAGAACTAAGAGAATATGGGGAAGGAGGTACATGAACCAGAGCATCAGAGAAAGCCTCTGTGAATATGTAATATCTCCATTGAGACTGATAATCTCCATTGAGACTGAAGGTTGAGGGAAGAGCCCGCTAGGCAAAGAGTGCGAGGAGAGCACCCCAGGCAGAGGAAAGAGCAAGTGCAAAGGCCAGGAGGTAGGAACGAGCTTGGTGTATTGGAAGGAAGGAAAGAAGGCTGATGTGGTTGATTAGAGCGAGCAGGGGAGAGTCGTAGGAGATGCGGTCAAAGAGAAACAAGGTGCCACATCACGCAGTGCTCTGCCGGCTCTGATGAGGGCAGGTGTGTGCATGCTAAGTCACTTCAGTCGTGTGTGACTCTTTGCGACCCCATGGACTATAGCCTTCCAGGCTCCTCTGTCCATGGGGTTCTCCTGGCAAGCATCCTGGCGTGGGTTGCCATGCCCTCCTCCAGGGGATCTTCCCTACCCAGGGACTGAACTCACATCTCCAGTGGCTCCTGCATTGCCGGTGGATTCTTTATCTCTGAGCCACCAAGGAAGCCACAGAGATCTGATTTTAAGTGCCTGCAACCCCAGTGTGTCCTCTGACACTTACCTCTAGATTTCTTCCTGACCCTTCATTTTTAAAAATTATTTTATTTGGCTGTGTCGGGTCACCTGACACAGTTGTGGCGCATGAGCTTCTCTCTAGTTGTGGTGCTCGGGCTTTGGTGTCCCATGGCATGTGGGATCTTATGCCACCGGACCAGGTGGGATCTTGACCAGGAATGGAACCTGAGTCCTCTGCATTGCATGGTGGATTCTTAACCACTGGACCACTCGGCCAGACACTTCAAATTCATCACCCGCTGAGGCAGATGCTGTGGGTGCCCTGCCTGTATCCACCTGACCCATCTGGGAAGTCATATGCAGACACTTCCCAGACCCTCAGTGTCCCTAGATGCTCCCTGAGTTTCTGTCTGGAGGAGGGCCGGGGTGGATGGGTGGGATTCTGTAACCTCAGAACCTCCAACCAGTTAGGGATTGGTGAATAAGTATCCTAGCTCTCTGGTTCCTGGGGATCGATTCTGAGGTGAGTTCCCCTCAGTGTCTCAGAGGTCCCCACTGGGACTGTCAAAGTGGTAACTTCTTTAAAAAATATTTTATTTATTATTTATTTATTTATTTGGCTGCCCTGGGTCTTAGTTGTGGCATGCGGGATCTAGCTCCCTGACCAGGAAGCAAACCCCAGGTCCTCTGCTTTGGGAGCTCAGAGTCTTGGCCACTGGACCACCGGGGAAGTCCCACAGTGGTAACCTTTTCATCAATACACCGTTTATTGGCTTTTCTCCTTTCTTCATCTCTCTTCCTCATTCCTTCACAGCCCTGACTGTGATTAGCTCCCCAGTACAGTTCTTGCACCCCAATTCCCATCTTAGAGTCTGCTTTTGAAGGGACCATAATGAAGGCATTCCTTAAACAACTCATCACCTTCCCCTAAAATATTGTTCTCTGTTCTCATTTCTACCATGAAGCCAACTACCATAATCAGACACCCAAGCCTGGTCAGTTCTTCTAGAAAGATAGAGGAGTGGGTATCTATTTATCAAGCTATTCCCTTCTCACGCCCAGCCCTATGCAGAGCAATGGGACTCCAGGGATGAATCCAATCATCCCCTGCTCTTGGGGGAGTCGCTGGTCTATTGGGGAGGCAGATCTGGACCCAGGCAAGGTCCACACAATGTGCTCAAAACTGTGTCGGGAAAGTCAGAGAAGTCTTTCCCGAAGAGATGCCATGGGCTGGGCACTGAAGGCTGAGTAGGAGCTGGCCATTTCGGAGGCAGGGGGCGTTCCAGGCAGAAGGCACAGCTTATAGAAGAGTTCGGAGGGTCTGAGAATCCAGGGGCTGGGGAGGCACGGGCATGGGAAGGAAATGTGATTTCATCCTTGGTTTGGTGTGGAGGAGCGAGGGGAAGGGTGGGCAGGGGTCGGGGCACGGCAGGCCTTAAACCTCAGGATGAGAGGCTCCTGCCTCCTCCTGGGTGTGATGGAGAGCTCTGGAGGTTTCCTGAGCAGGGGAGTGACGCTGTCAGATTTGAGTCCAAAAACAATTCCTTGGGACTTTCTTCAAAGTCCAGTGGGGCAGGACTCGGGGCTCAGGTTTGATCCCTGGTCAAGGAACTAGATCCCGAATGCTGTAACTGAAGATCCTACATGCCGCAAGGAAGATCCACGACACAACCAAATAAATAAATATTTCAAAAAGAAAGAAAAAGGCTCAGTGGTAAAGAATCTGCCTGCCAATGCAGGAGACACAGGTTCGATCCCTGGTCCAGGAAGATCCCACATGCCATGGAGCAACTAAGCCTATGTGCCACCATTACTGAGCCTGCGCTCTAGAGCCTGGGAGCTGCAATTAGTGAGCCCACACACGGCAACTACCAAAGCTCAGGTACCCTGGAGCCCATGGTCTGCAACAAGAGAAGCCGCCGGAAGGCGAAGCCTGCAACAAAGAGAAGCCCTCGCTCGCTGCAACTAGAGAAAAGCCTGCACAGCAACGAAGACCCAGCACAGCTAAAAATAAATAAAATTATTTTTAAACAATTTTAAAAAAAGAAAGAAAATGATTCCTCTGGATTAGTTTGAACTGGGGACTAGCTCAGCCAGGTTCCCTAGGTCAAAGCTGAAGGATAGGCATTTTTAGCCGATGAAAGAAATCATTTTGAGCCCAAGTCTCTGGAGAATAGATGGGTCTTAAGGCCCAGGAAGGGGAATACCCTTGAATTTGAAAGTGTCCAGCTCCCCAGGACCACAGCCTTCAGCCTCTGTGAGGCCTGATTCAGCTAAACAAAGCCGGGGAGTGGGAGAACTTGTTGACTCACTGCCCCCGGGGTAACCATTAATCCTTCCCAGGGGGGAGTCCAGGGGCTAGTGCCCTGAGAGGCAGATCATGGGCAGCATGGAGCAGCACACAGAGGCAGGCTCAGCACCAGTGCTGGGGGAACAGAAGGCTCTAATTGACAATCCCGCTGACATCCTAGTCATCGCGGCTTATTTCCTGCTGGTCATTGGTGTCGGCTTGTGGGTGAGAAGCTGGGAGATGCTGCTAGGGCCCTGCTTCTGGAGCCTGGGAGGGAGTCTCAGGGAGCCCTATGTGTGGTAGGGGAAGGATGCCTGGATCTTTGAGAGAGAAACCCGGTGTGGGACAAGTAATTCTTCTTTTGATAGTTTCACGGTGGCCCAGCCCACACTCATTCATGCCTTGTCTGCCCACTTTGGGGCTGGACTAGTTTTAAGGGGTCGGTGGCTTTTCATCGGGACAACATTCTAAATGAGGTCTCTGTTCCCCTGTCTGCATAACAGCTAGCTGAGCAGAAACCCATATCCAGGGCCCACAGGAAAGTCAGGCCCCATCTAGCCACACTCGGGCTTGGGAAGCTGGATGCTGGGTTAGGGCCTGGATGGATTTGTGTGCTGGGAGGAGGCTGGGGGTGGAGTCCGGTGGGGGAATCATCAGGGGAGCCGCATGCTGGTTAATATTCAGCCTGGAACAAGGCTGAGGAATGTGTTGAGGAGGCTAATGAGGTCCAAAGATGTGCCCCGAACCCAGGCCTCTCCCCACTCCCATCCCCCAGTCCATGTGCAGAACCAACAGAGGCACCGTCGGAGGCTACTTCCTGGCGGGACGGAACATGGTGTGGTGGCCGGTGAGAGAGGCGGGGCTGTGGAGCGGGAGGAGGCCTGGAGAAACAGCATGGCTCACCCCCACCTCTGGCCACCCAGGTCGGGGCCTCTCTCTTCGCCAGCAACATCGGCAGTGGCCACTTTGTGGGCCTGGCAGGGACCGGTGCGGCGAGCGGCCTGGCAGTGGCTGGATTTGAGTGGAATGTGAGTCCCTCCTTTTGGCCAATAACCCCCATCACCCCCCTGGAAGGGTCACACCTGGAGAGGCTCCAGGTGAAGGTGTGAGACCAGAGTTGGGACTTCCCAACTGTGTCATGAGGCTGGGCTTCGAGTGATGCTCAGGCAGCCAGCTTGGAGGCAGAAACGAGTGGGAGATTCCAGGATCAGGGCAAGGGTAGGTCCACAGGAGGTGTATTAGCTGATCATATCAGCATTGGGGGTAGATGCTTGAATTTATAGGAAGGAGTCTGTTAGTAAGCAGTGTTTTAATAACAAAGTTGATCATAGTATGGCTGTAAATAAAACTGATCACACAAATAATAGTGTTCGATACTGTGATATGGCAGGTGGTCTGATTTGCTATTGCTATGTGAGCCTAAACTAGCCACACCCTCATTGGCCTCAATTTACTCCTCTCTGAAATGGGGTGAACAGTCTCAAAGTTGGTACAGTGCTTCTTCGGACACTCTTTGAAGCGGTGGCCTATGAGCATCTTTAGGCCAAATGAAAGCCCCTCGCAGAAAAGGGCAGGAGAGGAAGCTCTGGGACTGAGTCTTGCCTTGGAGACTTCGGGAGATCAGGGCTTTGAGCTCAGGGCTTCCTGGAGGAGGAGGCCTCTGAGCTGAGCCTTGAAGGACAGAAGGTTTGGGTGGGTAGAGAGGAGAGGGGAGGCAGAGGCTGGGGTTGGGCGGAAGGGTCTGTACTTAGATTCAGGTGCTGGAGGTGGGAGGAGGAGGAGTCTAGGGGTCATCTTGGGAGAGATGGCCAGGGGTCATGGCCTGGGAAGGCAAGAAGGGCTGTAGTTAAGGGCCCAGTGAAGTATCAAGACCTTGTCCAGAAAGCCCAGAGCCCAAGGTCATCGTCTGCATTTGTGTCCTCTGGGGCCCTGGTGCAACCTTGCCTTGGAGTAGCATGTTGTCCAAGAGAGGAAGGTTCTTCAGACCCATAGAGGGTAAGGACAAGCTCAGAGNGGGGCGTGGACTGTGGGGGGGGAGGGGCTTAGGGAAGACCCGTACAAGGGGTGTGGCGTGTGGGCGGGGCTTAGAGGACTCACCAAAGGTAAAGAGCGCTGGAGAAGTTAAGTGTGATGTGAGCAGAAGGATCTAATTCTTTGGAAAGCAGATTGGTCCGGAAATTCATAGCTCCGAGCCCCTCTTGGGCCTGGACAACAAGGAAGACTTAAGTTTTTATTAACGTCTGAGAGGGGAGAGTGGACTTGGCCAGACTCCAGGATAGCTCACCAATCCCAGTGCAGGTCCGGGGAGAAGGGAGTGGGGTCTGAGGCCTGACGCTGGACCAGAGTGGGCGGGGCCTGGTGCCAAGGCCTATTGTACGGTCCGGCCCCTCGGGATGGGATGGAACTGAGAATTGGACCTTACAGGATCACCTCCTTCTGTTACACAGACGAGAAAACCTGGACTTAGAGAAGGGCCTGTAGTGGAGGTCCTACACGGGGGGCATCTGGCATCCGTGGAGCCCCAAACTCAGCCCCACTGTTGCCTCCTGATGCCGGAGTGCAGGAGCTCGGAGAATGGGCCATCATTTTGAAATTTGCCCTCCAGGAAAATTAATTGGAAAAGGGGAGCCCTTTTCCAATTCGCGCAAAGACAATCTATGTACTAGAGGCAGCCTGTCTGGGCTGTGCCCCCTGACCCAGGCCGGTTGCAGGAGGGCTGGCGGCGCTGATGTACACGGACACGGTGCAGACCTTCGTCATTCTCGCGGGGGCCTTCGTCCTCATGGGTTACGGTACGGGCTCAGCCCATGGGGGAGGGGCGCGGAGGTCGCAGGTCGCAGAGCTCTCCACCTGGAAGCAGGGACATCACGCGTCTTGGTCGGGGTGGTCCGAGGGAGGGCCTTGTCGCGGGCGCCGGTTCCCCTGACGGCCTTGCCCTCACAGCCTTCCACGAGGTGGGCGGGTATTCGGGGCTTTTCGACAAATACTTGCGGGCAGTGACGTCCCTGACGGTATCCGAGGATCCGGCCGTGGGCAACATCTCCAGCTCCTGCTATCGACCCCGGCCGGACTCCTACCACCTGCTCCGGGACCCTGTGACGGGGGACCTGCCATGGCCCGCGCTGCTTCTGGGGCTTACTATCGTGTCCAGCTGGTACTGGTGCAGCGACCAGGTGAGGGGTCGGGGCTGCCGCGGGATGCGAGGTCGGGGTAGAACCTGCGGGGGTGCGGAGCTGAGATGGGTGGAGCCTGAACTCACCTGGGAAGCCAGGTGGAAGACGTGGTCCGAGGTGGGGGGCGGGCGGGAGGCCTGCCAAATAGACCTACCCAGATGGAGGCGGTTCCAAGGGGCGAGGCCTGCTCTTGGAACTGAACTGTCCGCCTCGAGGGGCCAGCGGCGGGGCCCGGATTAGAGGAGGCGACTTGGGGTAAGGCCAGAGAGACGGCGAGTTACCTGGGACTGGACGCAGGTAGTTTGAAAGCACCTCGTCGCAGGTCATAGTGCAGCGCTGCCTGGCTGGGAAAAACCTCACCCACATCAAGGCGGGCTGCATCCTGTGCGGCTACTTGAAGCTGATGCCCATGTTCCTCATGGTCATGCCGGGCATGATCAGCCGCGTTCTTTACCCGGGTAAGGTCTGCAACCCCGCCCCGACCCCGAATCCTGAGCCCCATCCAGCCCCTTTCTCAGTGGAGGATACAAGTGCCCGTCTCCCATTTCCGTTCCCGTTTCGAAGATTTGGGCCACCCAGTCCCGCCTCCCACCTGGGGATCCCATTTGTCCACTGGGATTCCCGGTCCCCACTTCGGCGATCCGAAGTTCCAGACCCGGCCCCGCCCTAGCCGCGTGGCGCCCTCCTTCCCGCAGACGAGGTGGCGTGCGTGGTGCCCGAGGTGTGTAAGCGCGTGTGCGGCACTGAGGTGGGCTGCTCCAACATCGCCTACCCGCGGCTCGTCGTGAAGCTCATGCCCAATGGTGAGGGCGGTCCCCGGGTTGCCCGTCATGCCCACAGGCTCCTGTACGAGGCGTCACCCCTCGCCCGGCCCGCACCTTCCGGGCGCCCCCTCGCGGCCGCAGGCTCACGGCTGCAGTCCGCCCGCAGGTCTGCGCGGACTCATGCTGGCGGTCATGCTGGCGGCGCTCATGTCCTCGCTGGCCTCCATCTTCAACAGCAGCAGCACACTCTTCACCATGGACATCTACACGCGCCTGCGGCCCCGCGCGGGCGACCGCGAGCTGCTGCTAGTAGGACGGTGGGCCTGGGTTTTCCATCTCCGGCCCTACGACTCGGCCCCGGGGGAGGGAGAGTAGGGACAGGGGGAGACCGGATCCTGGGTGAAACCTCCCGTTGGCCGCCCACCGCAGGCTCTGGGTGGTGTTCATCGTGGCCGTGTCGGTGGCCTGGCTGCCCGTGGTGCAGGCGGCGCAGGGCGGGCAGCTCTTCGATTATATCCAGTCAGTCTCCAGCTACCTGGCGCCACCGGTGTCTGCCGTCTTCGTGTTGGCGCTCTTCGTGCCCCGCGTCAACGAGAAGGTGAGCCTGTGTGCACACTGGGCGCTGGGGCCGGACTTGGACGCCCGAGGAGGCTGACGCGCTCTTGGGGCCCGCAGGGCGCCTTCTGGGGACTGATCGGGGGCCTGCTGATGGGTCTGGCACGCCTGGTTCCCGAGTTCTCCTTTGGCTCCGGCAGCTGCGTGCGCCCCTCCGCGTGCCCCGCGCTCCTCTGCCGCGTCCACTACCTCTATTTCGCCATCCTGCTCTTCGTCTGCTCCGGCCTCCTCACCCTCGTGGTCTCGCTGTGCACACCGCCCATCCCGCGCAAGCACGTAAGTGCAGGCCTCCCGTGGGGGCACTAACGTGGGCGGGTGTGGCCCCTCTCCACCCGGAGGCTGCAGTCTGCTTCCCACTACTCCCAGTGGGGAGGACCTGAACATCTGTAGGGTTTGGTGAGGACAGACCAAGAAGTCCAGTTTGAAGCTTCACTTGCAAAGCAACCACAATGTTTTGATTTAAATCACATTTATTTGCGGTGGTTTGGAGGTGGCCTGAAGATCATGGGGGAGGTGAAAGCCCCCTAGAGTCTTGGCCTGAGTGGTGGCTGGGAGGGACCTGGTACTATCCTGAAAGTCCCCAGAGGGCTTGGTCTTGTGCTGCGGAAGGTGGGTGCCCCAGGACAGAGCTGACTGGGGGGCAGGACACAAGAGCTAGGGCCCAGGAGGGGCAGGACTCCACAGGGGCAGAAGGGGCAAAGGCAGCAAGAGGAAGCCCTGGTAGCAAACACCCACAGGGAGGAACGCCGCGTTGGCAGGACTGGAAGACTAAAGCACTAGAATTGAATTGTGAGTGCAGACGGGGGACATGGGGGTGATGAAGCCGAGGGCAGAGCAGGGCGAAGAGTTTTTAAACACTCAGTTGAGGAGCTCGGGTTTAGCCTGAGGGCAGCCATGGAAGGTGGTCTTGGGCTGCTGTGCAGGCTGGACAAAGAGACGTGAGGAAGTGCTGGTGTGGACGGGAGACCTCCTGCTCTGGGGCGGGGTGGGGGGGCAGCACTCCCACTCGGCCTGTGCTCCCCCCTGCCCCAGCTCCACCGCCTGGTTTTCAGTCTCCGGCACAGCAAGGAGGAGAGGGAGGACCTGGATGCTGAGGAGCTAGAAGGTCCGACCGCAGCCCCCGTGCAGAACGGGCACCCTGAGCACGCAGTGGAGATGGAGGGTAAGGCACTGCCCCCGGGACTTGGGGCTGGGGAGCTGGGGGAGCCGAGTGTCCTCAGACTCACTGTCAGGCCTCAATTTCTCCCAGCGCCCCCACCCCCAAGGCCAGGCCTCTTGCGGCAGTGCCTGCTCTGGTTCTGTGGTGTGAGCAGGGGTGGGGCGGGCAGCCCCCCACGCCCTACCCAGGAGGAGACAGATGCCGCAGCCAGGAGGCTGGAGGACATCAGTGAGGACCCACACTGGGCCCGCATCGTCAACCTCAATGCCCTGCTCATGATGGCCGTGGCCACGTTCCTCTGGGGCTTTTATGCCTGAGGCCCACTGTGTCGGACATCCTGAGCCACAGCCTTGAAATGAGTCGGGGTGGGGAGCCCGCAGCGGTGAGAAGAGCCTGGGGCCAGAGAGTAGCAGGGAGGCCCCGGGATCCCTACTGTCTGCCTTGTTTCTGCCTGGGGCCCAGTCCATTTGACTAGTAGCCACATCCTATGAGGCCTTGGCCAGCTGGCCACTGTGGTTCCCCTAAGAACAAATAAAGCTGCCTTGCCTAGGTCCTGCTGCAGCCAGAGTGTCCTTGTTCCAGGACCCTGTCTGAGACCTGGGCCTCCGGCAGAGCTGCTCACAAGACCTTCTTTTCTGGGCACAGAAGCCACGTGGCCCTCCACTCATCCACCTCTAGCTGGTGCTTCTCAGTGCTCCAGCCCGCATCCTGTAGACCTGGGGAGAGGGCAGAGGGGTGGTGCTGTGGGGGAGACCCTAGGCTAACCTTGGGGAGAGGGGTAAGGTGCAGCACAGGCTGGGTGTACTGCTCAGGCTCCCCTTGCCTCTGTGGGGTGATCTCTGGTGTAAAATGAGGCTAAAACCTCATCTGGTTGCCATATGAATTCATTGAGGAGCACAGGGAAAAGGGCTAGAATGGAGTAGGGCCTAAATGAAAGCTCATCATCAGTAATTTGTGAGCCTTCCCCCTCCCCCCGAAGCCCCCACCCCACTCCTCTTCTCCAGTGCCAACTGGGCTTCCACAGTCTGTCAACACTGAGTGCCTCACAGGCCATCCTAACCTCCCCATCCTGCAGACAGGGAAACCGAGACCCAGACTTGAGATCACAGAGAGAAATCCAGGTCTTCCACCTCCCAGACAGAGGGGTAGGGATGGAGCTAGGCAGGGCCTCTGGGGAGAAGGTCCAGGAGCCATGGAGCAGAAGGATGTTACCTTTCAAGAACTTTGGGAAGAGCTTGTCCAGCACTTGGTGTGTCTCCCTGACAACAATCCAGCTCTCTTTCTCAGGACCTGGACAGGGGTGAAGAACCAGAAGCTCCCAGGTGTCCCAAGCCGAACAGGCTCCTTCCCCTCTCCACCCTGCTTTGGTCAGCAGCAGCCTAGACTGCGAGGCATTTACCTGCCCGTACTCGGTTCCTCAGTTCCTCCAGCTCTCCTGGGAGGGGTCCATCTCCCCGCAGGGCTCCAAGCACCAGCCCATGAGTGGCAGCCTTTAGAATGGCCTCAGGTCCTGCCATCTGACTCAGGACAACCTGTACCTGGTCTGGAGAGACCCAGGGACAGACTGGTACCAGGGAAGGGCCAACTCTGAAACTCTCTCAGGCCTACCAGCCTACTTCATCCCTATCTGGCCCAAAGGCCTTGGCCTGGCATGAAAGGCCAGCTCCCACCCTTTCCTTTCCAACTTCATCTGTTGCTCCCCAATGCTCTGGCCAAGCTAAAATGCCCAATTTCCAAGATACAACTTCAAAGCAGCTCCCTGAGGTGGGCTTATTTTGCATGTCTTTAATAGCTAGTGAGAATAAGCATCTTTTAACACATGACCAGCAGACCATTAAACCATTAGACCATTTAGTGCCCGTTTGCTCAAGAAGTGACCTGAACAGGAGACAAAAGTGGTTCCTCAGGGAGAACCAGAGGCCACAATCTCATTTGTGTGTGCTACAATGTAAAAGTGCTTTTACATAATCACCTTCTTTGATCCTCACAAAAACCCTGAAGATAATAAGGCAGGTATTATTAGCTCCACTTAACAGAGTGGTCAAGGGAACTTTACAGGGGCATGCAGCTATATAATCTGAATGGATTCGATCTCAGCTTCAAGCTCCCCTGAGGACAGCAGGCAGACTCCAAACTGTCCAGCGTGTGTCCAGAGCTTGGGGCCCTGGGTCTGGAGGAATGAAAGGCTGAGCCCAGGAGGGTGAGTCTGAAGCTGGGAGAACACGGCACACTTACTTCGTGACTGGTCCCAGCGAAGGAGGTAGGGTTCTCGGTGCCCCTCAAGCAGCTGCTGCAGCTCAGAGACACTGAAGGAAACAAGAGTGTGCAGTCGGTCGGGGGTGGGGAGAAGACAAGGCAGGCGTGACCATGCATTCACTGCACAGCCACCTAGTCGTTAACCCAAGCTGTCTTGCACCTCTTTCCCATCCGCCCCTCAGCTGTTACCCTCCCCCCCATCAACCCTTCCTTTCTTCCTGCATCCAACAAACACATCAACAAACATGTCTTCTTTGTCTTACAAGTCACTTGAGTAGCCCTACACTCAGGCAAGTAAACATCCACAGAGCAGAAGTACTTTATTTGGTGGTTCAGAAAGGCCAGTCTGGGATTTCTCTAGTGCTCCTACTACAAGCAGCATAGGTTCAATCCCTGGTCAGGGATCTAAGATCCCACATAATCATGGTGTACACCGCCTGCCCTCAAGCACCCACAGTGACATGCCCCCCACCCCCCACGGAAATGAAGAACCAGAGAGGTAGGGCTTGGTCAGGGGAGGCCAGCGACAATCAGAACAAGGAGCGCGGGCTTCCCTGTGGTAAAGAATCCACCTGCCAATGCAGGAGACATGGGTTCGATCCCTGATCCAGGAAGATCCCACATGCCACGGGGCCGCTAAGCCTGTGCGCCATAGCTATTGAGCCTGTGCTCTGGGAGCTGCAACTGCTGAGCCCAAGTGATGCAACTACTGATGCCCTCGGGTCTTAGAGTCCGTGCTCTGCAACAAGAGGAGCCCCTGCACTGTGACTAGAGAGTAGCCCCTGCTCTCTGCAACTAGGGAAAAGCCCTTGCAGCAACGACCAAAAAACCCAAAAATAAATAAACAAATAACTTATTAAAGAACAAGGAGCACATAGTGGGGGGAGGGTGATAGTAGTGATGGGTGGGAGATGTTGGGCCACTCACCTGGACATCACGCAGTGTAGGGGGGCCCCCAAGGATAGAGACACAGATGACCAGAAACCTGTGGGAAGCTGGAGTCAGGATGCCCGGGCAGAGGAAGGAGCTAGGAGACATAAGACTTGAGCCCAAGGGGTTGGGTCACCTGTCCACAGTGGCTCCATCCGATTGGCTGATGTGGGGCCAAGTACCTCTCCCTGCTGGAGGAAGTGCCTCAGGACCAGCCAGAGCCGCTGTTCATTCAAGGTCTCTATGACAAGGGCCCGGATGGCTCGGTAGTTGGCGTAGATGTGGAGGGCAGTGAGGAAGAAGAAACAGCCGAGGCTTAAGCTGGGGCGAGAGGGTGAGCTGGTCCGTGGGAGCAGAGGCCCAGCTGGGCGCCTCCTCCCTGCCTTGGATCCCGGCTTACCTGGGGCTATCAGACACCAGGGGCAGCATCAAGAGGCTGACCAGGAGCCCTGCCAGGTTTACCAGCGTCTCCTGGAAAATGGCAGAGGGGTTGGGAGCTGGAGGCTCCCCTCCAGGCCAGACATCCCTGAGTGCCTTTCACCACAGTCCTCCCTAACCCCAGACGCTCCCTACACTGATATGGGTGCCTAGGAAATTTTTAATGTTTTTGATGAGTGAGCCATCATGTAAGATACATCTGCTTCTCTGCCCAGCTAGCTGCAATGCCTGTGGAACATTTCTTTGTTTTGCAAGCATCACTTGTGTAGCCCTACACTCAGGCAAGTAAGTGTCCACAGAGTAGAACAACTTTATTTGGTGGTTTAAAAAGGCCAATCTGGGACTTCCCTGGCGGTCCAGTGGTTAGGACCCCACACTTAACACTGCAGGGGCCATGGTCAGGGAACTAAGAATCTACATGCCTCATGGTGTGGCCAACAAAAAAAAGAGGCCGATCCCCCCAGCCCCTTGGTATGCAATAACAGGCAGACACTTCTGCAAAGGGGTCAACGAACCACCTAGGAAGAAATGCACAAAATTCCAACTTACCTGGAGAATCAATGTTATCAGACCCCACTGATGGCCCAAGATGGCCTGACTGAGCCTACCTTAGGGGAAAAGACCCATGGCCATGACCCCCAACTCATCAGGAGGGAGGAGAAGTCTGGACTGGGGTTCCTGACTATGGGGGTCCCTGGGATAGGTGGTCCTGGTGCAGAGGGCTGAGCTGTGAGTGTAAACTGGGGGTCAGGGGCCTTGAGAGCTCAGGAACAGAGGGCCCTCCCCGGGGTGGGAACAGTCATCTCCAGCAGCCACATGGAGTGGCAGCAAAGCAACAGCTTCAGAAAGCAGGGGTCTGGTCCCGGGCTGAGCACCGGTCTTGGGTGCCCCAGTGGCCTTACCGCCTCTGTGAACTGAGGAAGCCCTGGGGCCCTGGAAAGTGGGCCTGGAGGTTAGAAAGAGAGCAGGTGAGACAGCAAGCATGGGGCTGGGAGATCCTAAAGAGCAGGGCCTGGTGTACTCACTCCCTAACAACCTCGGAAGAGACAATGGGGAAGAACTCGTCCAACCATTTCTTGAGAGAAGGGACAAGCCCGGGGAACCCAGGGAGAAACAACCTTTCCGTGTCTTTTTTGCCTCAGCTGTAGAGTGGCGACAATGACACCCTGCATGAATCCACTGTAAGGATTTCATGAATTCAGACAAATGAAATACTAGGCACATGGTTAATGCTTAAAAAATATTAAATTGTGTTGGGACTTCCTTGGTGGTCCAGTGGTTAAGACTCTGCTCCCAATGTAGAGGGCACAGGTTCAATTCCTGGTCAGGGAACTAAGATCCCACATGCAGCATGGCCAAAAAAAAAAAAAGAACTTGTATTAATATTACTGAAAAGAGTTAGTTTTAATTTTTTTTTTAATTTTTTTAAAATGAAGTTCTATTTCACAGAATCCTATAAGAAAAGGCCAGAAAGTAGGACTGGAGAGAAAAGAGGTTTTTTTGTTTTTTGGCCATGCCCCCCCACTCTACCACGCGCCCCCTACCCCCACCCCAGCATGTGGGAGCTGAGTTCCCTGACCAGGGATCGAACCCACACCCCCTGTACTGGTGCGGAGTCTTAACCACTGGACCACCAGGCGAGTCCCGAGAATCAATGTTTCTAAATTGCTTCAGTGTCAAAGAAAACTGTGTCACACTTGTGACCTCCCTGGGCCTCACTTTCCACATCTGTAAAATGGAGATAA